ACCTCCTATTGTGTAGCCGTCACCTCCTATTGTCTAGTTCTCTCCTATTGTCTCGTTCTTTCCTGCTATTGTCTAGTTCTCACTTCCTATTGTCTAGCTGTCACCCTCTATTGTCTAGCCCCTACCTCCTATTATCTAGTTCTCATCTCCTATTGTCTATCCCTCACCCCCTGTTGTCTAGTTCTCACCTCCTACCGTCTCGTTCTCACCTCCTACTTTCTAGGCTTTACCTCCCCCAACATTTCTCCTCTCCCCTGACATAACATACTGCCCTTCCACGATGCTGTGCCTCTGCACACACTGTTCCTTCTGCCTGGAATCCCCTGGACCTCACCACAGCCACATTCACCTGCACACCTGTATTTTGTTTTTTGTTTTGTTTTGTTGAGATATGGTCTCACTATGTTGCCCAGGCTGCAGGGCAGTGCAATCTCCACTGACTGCAGACTCGATCTAATAGGCTCAAGCCACCCAACTACCTCAGACTCTGGAATAGCTGGGACCACAGGCGCACACCATCACACCTGACTAACTTTTATATTTTTTGTAGAAATGGGGTTTCACCATGCTTCCCCAGGCTGTCTCAAACTCCTAGGCTCAAGCCATTCCCCTGCCTTGGCCTCCGAAAGTTCTGGGATTACAAGCATGAGCCACTGTGCCTGGCCCCCATCCATATTCTTCTTAGTGGACTCCTATTGATCCTTTAAGGCCCAGCACAAATGTCTTTGTCTGTGAACCCATTAGGAATGCCCTGAAAATTGGTTCTCAAACAAGGCACACACAGAACAATTCTCTGTAAACCTTTTTTAGCTCCTACGATGTCAGGCTCGCAGTGCCCATCCTGCTAAGTGCAGCATCACCCAGTCTGCAGAGGCAGAGCTGGTGTTGTGGGTTTACGGCTGAGGTGGGGCAGCCTCACGGAGGAAGAGGAGGCGATGTTCAAATGCCCCTAAGGAATAGGTCAGGTTCCAGGATCTGATTTACACACATTTTTCCACTGTTTTAAGGTTTAGAAAGTCCCAAAGTAGGAAAACAGTAAGATAATCATTCTTAGGCAGGGAACGTTTGGAAAAATCTGGAGGCATGTTTGGTTTTCAAAACCTGGGGCAGTGGGTGGGTGCTGCTGGCATCTAGTTGGTGAAGGCCAAGAACGCTGCTAAACGTCGTACAAAGCACAAGGCAGCCCCCACAGCAAGGAATTCTCTGGCGCAAAATGTCAACTATGCATGGCTGAGAAACACTGTCGCAAGCCTGCCTCTTGCGGGGAAGGATCCAGTGTTATCCAAGAGCTGGAGAAGGAAGAAGTGTGAGCAGGGAGAGGAAACGAGTGTGACCCTGTCTCTGTCACCTCCTCAGGTGAATGGCATACTAGAAAACTGGATCTGGCAGCTGGTGGCCGCACTGAAGTCTCAGCTGGCGCAGCCAGTGAACGTGGGGCTGGTGGACTGGATCACCCTGGCCCAAAACCACTACACCATTGCCGTCAGCAACACGCGCCTCGTGGGCAAGGAGGTTGCGGCTCTTCTCCGGTGGCTGGAGGTACTGACCTGTCCCATCCTGCCTTCACCTCCCTTTCCTCTTTTCCCTTCCTCTGAGGCTGAGTGAATTAAGCTGGTTTCCAACAGCAGCCCAGACAGGAGAAGCACTAACGCTCAGCTCAAAGGAATGAGAAGACCAAGACTGAGACCAGACCTCAGGGCTCTCTCAGACACCTCCCTTGAACCCCTGTTTTGCGGAACCACTTTCTCCGCGCTCCTCATCCACTACCCCTCTTATGCTCACCCCTCAGGCACGCAAAGGGATCCAAATACACCCTGTAAGCTATCAGGTCCCCACACAAATGAGTGGGATGACTTCTGTAGGATGTTAGTGTCCAGGAAAAGACAGGCAGGCAGGAGGCAGCAGTCACCAGGTAAGGTCCCAGGTACCTGAGCCCCAGGAGAGTCAGCCAGGCAAGAGACAAGTTTCAGTTTGGAGTGTGAATAAGGCGCCTCATTTCTGAGCAGGCACGAAGAACAGGGCAGGTGCCAGAATGCACTGGACCACAAAAGGTATCTCTTCTCCTGCCCCTATCCCCCTGCTGTCTTCCAGGAATCTGCTCAACTCTCTCGAAGCCATGTTCATCTAATTGGCTACAGCCTGGGTGCACACGTGTCAGGATTTGCCGGCAGTTCCATCGGGGGGGCGCGCAAGATCGGGAGAATCACAGGTAACCATGCCTCATAACTCATGCTGCAATCTCCACTACACGGGGGCATCCAACAGGGACCTCCTTTTCCAACAGGCTCATCATTAAAATGTCCCGACTCTTTTTAAGACCAGAGCTCATAAGAGGACTTACAACATTCTCTCACACATGACCAGTGTCATGGACTCCTGTTCCACAGAATTCAGAGCAAATTACAACCTCAACTCAAACAAATGTCTCATGTAGATGCGCCAGATGGGACTAAAACATGGACTCTTCTAGCAAGAAGGTCTTTTTTTTTTTTTTTTTTTTTTGAGTTGGAGTCTCACTCTGTCACCCAGACTCAAGTGCAGTGGTGCAATCTCAGCTCACTGCAACCTCCGCCTCCCAGGTTCAAGCAATTCTCCTGCCTCAGCCTCTCGAGTAGCTGGGACTACAGGCATGCGCCATGACAACCAGCTAATTTTTGTATTTTTTAGTAGAAACAGGGTTTCACCATATTGTTCAGGCTGGACTTGAACTCCTGACCTCGTGATACACTCACCTCAGCCTCCCAAAGTAATGAAATTACAACCATGAGCCACTGCACTTACCAGGGCCTTATTTTTTAATCTATAATTTACAAAGTCCAATTTGGGTGAGTTAAGGAGTGAAGAATCACAGCCTTAATTTGCTGTAATTCATCAGCCGTGTTCGTGCCTCTGTTCCCACATTTGTGAAACGTGTGTATTCTATTCTGGGACCCATTGGGGTTGAAGGAGGGAGCGCTGCATCGAAAACTTCACCCTGAACTCCGTACCCTCAGAAATGCCCCAAGATATCCAGGAAGGTTGGCACACGTGCAAGAAAGGTCTTCCTCCCAGGCTTCCCTGACACCAGCCCCATCCTTCACACCGCCAGGGATTAGGACACAAAACACAAAGCTAGTCAGATTGTTCCCCAGCCCAAGTTTGAGGCCCACTGATACCACAGGCATAAAACCCACAAGGCACAGGCAGGGCCCTCCTCAGTGTGGAAGCCCCAGAGTGCCCAGCCTCTCCTCCTGCTCATCCCTTTCCGTAGCTCTAGGTGTCAACAACATAAGATTTTTCTCCACTTCATGAACACACCATGGCCTCTTGTGCCTCTGCACCTTTCCATGCACTGTTCCCTTTCCCCACCACTCAGCCCACCAAACTCCTACTCATCCTTCAGGACCCAGCAGGCTCCAACCATATTTCACAGGTTAAAACAAAGAGTATTTGAGTCGAATAACAGAGTGGTTACAACTTTATATTTTATCGAGAGGGCAATTTTAAAAACAACTACTATCTACTACCATTCCTTTATAAAAGAATAGAATGCAGATAACGGCAGACATGCAAACGGAATACACTTGTGATTATGAGAGCTCATTTCCTCATGCTTTTTTTTCATCTTGCTGCTGACTGGGGAAGCCTGGTCCTGCTTGTGCTCCCCATGGGTTTAAGCCACAGTCGCCTAGGGGTGAGCAGCCCTCCCACTGAAGAAGCAGGGCCAGAGGGCAGAGGCCCAAGGACCAGAACCCTCTCCATCCACCCAGGGCTGTGGGTCACATCAGACGTGTCAGCCGGGCCCACCCGCCTCAGAGACAGCAGGAAGGCTCAACACCCTCTTGCCAATTTGTTATCATCGTGATGAAGAAGGAAACAGAAATGACATCAGAACATTTTTCTTTTCTTTTTTTTTTTTTTCTTTTTGAGATGAAGTCTCGTTCTGTTGCACAGGCTAGAGTGCAGTGACACTAGCTCACATGGCCCACTGCAGCCCCCACCAGCCAGGTTCAAGTTTTTCTCCTCCGTCAGCCTCCCAAGTAGCTGGGACTACAGGTGCCTGCCACCATGCCTGGCTAATTTTTGTACTTTTAGTAGAAACGGGGTTTTGCCATGTTGGCCAGGTTGGTCTCGATCTCCTGACCTCAGGTGATCCACCCACCTTGGCCTCCCCAAGTGCTGGGATTACCAGGTGTGAGTCACCACGCCTGGCCAAGGACATTTTTCATTTGTCACTGGGAGTGGGGCTGGAGAATGGGCAATCTCACAGCCCACTCTCAGTTCCTTTGCCCCTCATAGTAGAGAAGAAAGCCAAGGCTGGGGTGGGACACCAGAGGGTCCTCCAGAGAAAGCAGAGAAAGAAAAACAGGGAAAAACCTTGAGTGCATAAATACTCCGCAACCACAGTCAGCCCGGGGGCTGCCACCTTGCTTCACGCACATACATCTGTCACTTGAGGCCCTGAGCTCCCGCTTGCACGCATTTTCACCCCGTACGCTGGTGTCCTGAGGCTGTTCTGGATGTTCTGACGAAATGACATTGTAGGAGAAAAATTAGCTTGTTTACAGAAATTATTGACAACATGCAGGCCATCAAATTTCATTCTTTGATAGGTAGGTTGGAACTACTTATAATGAGCATATTGGCTTTTTTTATGGATGCAAACAGATGGTCTTGAACGAAACTTGAGAGGTACTCAAAATTGATTTGCTTAAGTAATTCAAGTATTCTCTTTTTTCTTTTTGAGACAGGATCTCCCTCTGTTGCCTAGACTGGGTCACAGTGGTGCAGTCACGGTTCACTGCAACCTTAAACTCTTGGGCTCAAAGCCTCCCGAGTAGCTGAAACTACAGGCACATGCTACTACACCCAGCTAAGTTTTGTATTCTTTTTTTTGAGACAGAGTTTCACTCTTGTTGCCCAGGCTGGAATGCAGCAGCGCAATCTCTGCTCACTGCAACCTCTCCCTCTCGGGTTCAAGTGATTCTCCTGCCTCAGCCTCCTGAGTAGCCAAGATTACAGGCATGCGCCACCACACCCAGCTAATTTTGTATTTTTAGTAAAGACGGGGTTTCTCCATGTTGGTCAGGCTGGTCTCGAGTCCTGGACCTCAGGTGATCCACCTGCCTCGGCCTCCCAAAGTACTGGGATTACAGGTGTGAGCCACCGCACCCGGCCTTGTATTGTTTTTTTTTTAGAGACGGAGTCTCACTATGTTGCCCAGGCCCCCGGCCTCAAGCATCATAATCTTATGTCTACCACTGGAGAGTTTCTGCAAACCTCTTCCCCTGAGCTAATTCCCAGCCTGTGTCTCATTGTTAGCACCATGAATTACTGTGGTTTTACTGAGAAAAGGTTATGGCAAGGTTTTCTAGAGAAGGATTATGCCCTAGGTGTTTCTTCTTCCTGCTAGCTCATTAATGTATAATAAAACAAAAAAGCTAAAAAGCACATTTCTCGTCCCCTCTCCTTGCTCCCACCTAACCCTTACCCCTGCTTTCCCATTAGGGTTGGATCCCGCAGGCCCTTTGTTTGAGGGAAGTTCCCCCAACGATCGTCTTTCTCCAGATGATGCCGATTTTGTGGATGCCATTCACACCTTTACCCGGGAGTACATGGGCCTGAGTGTGGGCATCAAACAGCCCATCGGGCACTATGACTTCTATCCCAATGGGGGCTCCTTCCAGCCTGGCTGCCACTTCCTAGAGCTCTACAGACACATCGCCCAGCACGGCTTCAATGGTGAGAAAGAAGTCATGGGGCCAGAGCACCGGTCTACACTTCCACGGGCCCTCTGGAATTTAGTGGAATCTACCAACATGTGGGACTCGGGGAAGAGTCCAGCAAGGGTAGGGGCCCAGGTTGTATGGTCACCGAGCCCACCCAGAGAGAAGGAGTATGGGAGTGGCCAAGGCCACACCCTGAGGATGAGCAGAGGGTACTAACAGGAACCCCCACTTAGCCTGGCCCCGTGAGCCTACGCAAAGCCTCTCCCCCAGTACCAGCTCTTCCGAGAGTTGAGTCTGGATACTTGTGGTTATTCTTCCTTCTCCGGAAGTTTCCTCATTCCAGGGACTGCCTCTATTCTGAGCCATATGAGGATCTACTTAATAGGTTGTGGCTTCTTGAACCCTGCTCTCTCCCTTCATCCCACCCCATCAGTTTAATTGGGGACATTACTCAGATTCTCCCGATGGGAAATTCAGCTTCAGATATGTCCTTGTTACGCCCTTTACCTTGCAGCAGACACAGAATGTGCTATTATGTGGGTTGTGATCCCACTTCTCTCTCAAGCCCTAAAACCGAAATATTAACATGCACATCGATAATATCCACAGGATTAAAGAACAAAAATGTCAGCAGAAGCAGCACATTCCACGGGCATTCCAAATTTCTTGCTATTATAAAATATCATCCTGATTAAGACATGCCAATCACTCTAAGCTGGCTAGAGCCCTCTACCCCCACAAGCCACCTCACCCTGATCATCTGACACTGAGGTGAGAACACTCTCTCTTGTGATGACACCATCCTCGCCTCTCCAATATCAGAATGACCTTCACACTCCCCATCACCTCATTTTGGCTGGACTTCTAGTCTTCCACCACCCAGGCCTGAGAAAGCCTTCTGGGAACTTGTCTTTTCATTGCTTACATCCCCCACCCACCTCTGCCCCCCATCGCCTCCCCTCCAGCCACCAGCAGTTCCCAGCTGACCTTCCAGCCCTCCTCCCAAACTTCACCCCTGCAAAGCTCACATGGGCCTTATTTGCCTGGTAAACACATCCCTGACCAATCATTACCATTTGCTCTTTTTTTTTTTTACCATTGCTGGGTGCAATGGTACAATCTCGGCTCACCACAACCTCCGCCTCCTGGGTTCAAGCAATTCTCCTGCCTCAGCCTCCTGAGTAGCAGGGACTACAGGCGTGCACCACCATGCCCAGCTAATTTTTGTATTTTTTAGTAGAGACGGGGTTTCACCATGTTGACCAGGATGGTCTCGATCTCTTGACCGCGTGATCCACCCACCTCGGCCTCCCAAAGTGCTGGGATTATAGGCATGAGCCACCACGCCCGGCCCCATTTGCTCTTTTGTGCTAAACTTCAAAGAAATGGAACCAAATATAGGTATTCAGCTTGCCCAAGTTTGGGATGGCTTTTCTCAGTTGTCTTCACCCCTGTGTTTGAAAGGGTTCCTGGGGGTAGTTCTCCCAGCCACAACTGCACGGGGATCACTGGAGAGCTACTGTTCCACCCGCACTGCCTCCTAGGTGGATGAGCTTGGCTGAGTTAGTAGATGTCTTGGAGGCTCATTTACCTTGTTGATAACAGCTACGTCAAGGAGCTGCAGTGAGGATGCAGGCAGTGGAGGAGCAGAGGGCATGCAGCATACACAGCCTCCCCGTAGGTGCCCAACGAGTGCAGCCACCAGTGTCCAAGGACTGCGATGACTAATATTGGTATTTAGCCTCCAGACACCTGGGGAAGTAGGTTTTGGCAAAGTCACCTGTGCTGTCCTTTTACATCAAGTGTTTTACATATCTGGCGGTAGTTTCTCAACATCCCTTGAGAATTATTTACTACAGATTAGGTGAAAATTGGAAATTAAAAAAAAAAAGTTCAAATCCATGGTAGATCAACCTCATAAGCTTGTTTTGGGGGTGAGGGCTGTGCAGACCTGGTTACTAGGCAATGTCCTTCCAAATCCAGTCCTCGTGCTGGTTTCGCAGGCCTGCTACCTAAGGGATACAGTGGCTGCTTTGGGACACAAGGTAGACATTGCCGAGAGGCCTCAGCGTTTTCCAGACTGTCAGAGCACCACGGGAGGGCATCCTGTATCTAGCTATACTAAGAGAAAAGGTGTTCCCAGGCAAGCCTGTTCCAGAAACCCCGCCCTCCAGACATCAGCAGCGGGGCATTTTAAGTTATCCCATTTAAGACAGAAATATTTCTTTTTTTCTTTTTCTCTTTTTTTTTTTTTTTTTTTTTTTG